TAGCTTTGCGCGAAATTCAAAAACAAACAAACAGAATGTCCACAAGAGGACCAATAAGACAGAAGTCACAGTGTGGCAGATCAGTTCATTATACCAGAAGAATTAGATTACAGTTTAATGATGATATTACAGATTTTTTTTTACTCCAAAGGTAACACTTAAAATATAATCTGTGATGTAGAGGCACAATGCATTCTTTGATTTACCGCACCCTCTGCTGTGGAGGACTACAGTTAGGCCTTTTATAAAGGTGATGCGCATATAATATTTATGGGGTTTTTAAGTAATTTTTAACTCATCATTTATTAATTTCGGTTTGTAATTAATCTGGTATTGAGCCTAATTTAGTATTTTTTGGACTATACAGTTTTAAAATATAACCCGTGACGTGGAATCTAAGTGTACTGATGATCCTTGAATAGGCGAAATTGCAACGGAGGGAACGGCGAATCAAAGAATATATACGGTCCCTACGTCATAGATTACATTTTCAATTTTACCTTTGTTAAAAAGAAATCTGTAATATCACCATTAAAAAGTTTGAACACTGTACAATAACGAATAATGAATTAGGCGCAATGCCCTAATATTCTTCACGCACCTAAATTAATTTAGGTTACTAAATTGTGAGTTAAAAAGGACTTAAAAACCTCGTAAGTAGACTACAGTTCGTTTTGCAAAAACCTATGTCAGTCTCAGTTGGGCCCGGCATGGCCAGGTGGGGGCGTTATAATGTGACGGTCAATCCCACTAATCGTTGGTAAAAGAGTAGCCTAAGAGTTGGCAGTGGGTGGTGATGACTAGCACTGCTCAATTAGGGACGGCTAGCGCAGATAGCCCTCGTGTAGCTTTGCGCGAAATTCAAAGAAACAAACAGACTCAGTTGCTATTTTATGAGTGTGTGGAACGCCATCTATTGTGGAGATGTATAACATCATATGATGCTGGTAAACCGGTTTTCTTTGCTCACATCCAGCGGGTTTGTGAAGAAAGAAAGTCTTCGAGTTTCCTTCTGATCATTCCTCGTATAGTGCATTATGAAAGTATTGTCACAGTGGAGTATGAAGTATGCTGTAAACCAGCGTTTCTGAAACTGGGGTCCTCGGACTCCAGACCCCCGCGAGTCATGTCCGAAATTTCATAAAAATCTTTTTAAAAGATTATATAATTTATAGAATAAAAACAATTTTTCGTAAAATTTAATTTATATGATTTAAAGCATACAACTTTTATGTACACGGAGTCTTTTTTTAAAACGATAGATTTGGAGGTACGCGAAAAAAAAATTAAAATAAAAGGGGTCCTTGGGTTACGAAAATTTGAGAACCGCTGCTGTAAACGATTTAGGGGGAAAAGCTGACAATATTCGCATATATATATATATGCTGCATATTCTGCCTGTACCTTTACGATTATTGACTTGTAGAAAAAATCTAATGAAGCGTTTCTTGTCTCTATTAACTGTAGTCGTATTAAGTAATATCAATAAAAACTGGGTTTATCGTTAACTTGTATGACCCTAAATCGACATGGGAAATGTACCAAAATCGAGATTTTCTACTAGTGGTAATTTTGGTTTACTTGAACAAAGTTACAGGGTATGATCTCAATAGGAGTGGATTATGACAAATGTGTAACTGTTTATTATATTTGTAATAATAAACAGTTTCCATAGGCTTAGTAGGTATCCCAGATCACTGTAACTCGTATGTTGATGATAGTTTTAAGAATGTGCGAGTCAGTTGATACGATAATAAGTTCAGTAAGTTTTTAACGTAATATATTGTAATTAATAATATTAGTATTTAAAAAAATCTGGTTCAGAATGTTGAACAACAGAATTCCGTTCTACGTTTCATAAACGAATTTTTTAGACCCAGAAATGGGTCAACGACGACAGAACAGTATTGTTTTTGGATGCATATGATTTACAATACTATTTGAACAAATGTCTACACCAATGAAATTAGTGCAAATATTACGTGACCAAGGAAATAAAGTATGAATAATGTTCAGTTACAGTTATACATCTGTAGCTCGTAACAACTACCGCTAATGTGGAGATACGTACCGCACTATGTAGAGGGAAACTCACTCTGGATACTAAGTCCATGTGTTTTTGTTTCTGGAATGTGTTAGTAACACTTCGATGTAATAAACTACAAATTGTCCCCCCGATTTCAATCTCCTCAATCCACAGCGAACTGTCGATGCAGAGATCTATAGTCGGCAACTAGAACCTT